GGTCAAATTAGGCCGTTAGATTTCTCAACTGAATTGTTTCATATTTTTCACGTCGGGGCCTTTATAGCCGACTATACGGTATGGGTTTTTCTCATTGTTGAAGGCCGTACGGTTGCCTATAATTGCTTACATCCACTTTATTTGAACCTTGGTGATAGTTGTTTAATTGGCAATCACACCTCATCTCCTTATTTTTATAAAGAGTAAGACTAGCTACCGATCTCTCTGATACAGACAATTACTTCAATACTTCTTACGACACTGCTTTATTATCTCATACAAAAAATATCGTAAAACTTGAATATTTAATGTGTGTAGTTCAACACAGCTGGTGGCGAAGATATATGACAAAGTATGATTGATTACTTATCGTTTTTTGTCAAAATTTAATTACATGAATCGCCACGTAATTGCTGTATGATTATATATAACGAGCTACTTCCATGAATCAATTCGGGTTACAATACACAATTGAGCAGTATAGTGTCAGCCATTTTATGCAAATTAGCAAGCTATTAAACAAATTAGAGCATGAGTTTCATTGGACTTTGGAAGCTTCTACATTATCGATCGTGCATTTCCAGAAAATCTCGTTTAATGATGTTGAAATGAGACAAGTGGAAAATTTGAAAAGAAGAACAAATTAACAAGCGAAAAAGGCAAAACACCGTCATTAGATAACGCTAGATATAGTCACAAAGAATTCCCTCAGGAAATGTTGACCTTAGATGGATTTGGCTATTATTTTATAGGTCCCTTTTGGTCATATAGCTCTTTAACTGACTTAGTTCTTATACATGTTCTCATAGCCAGTTCTTGGCTTTCAAATATTCAGTAGCATATTTTATTATAATTCATAAATTCCCCAATTTTCTGTCATTAATCTGAGAAACTCTTAAGAATATGTTCTGAAAATATTTGACCTCAATGATTTCAATGATTCAAAAATGTTCAAACGTAAAAAAAAATGATTTCACAAAACAGAATGGAATTTAAAAAAAAATACTGCATGCTATTTATTTAAAATCAGTTCATCGTTGTTTTTTTTAATATATTGCCGTCCTACATCAACCTTGATCATATCTGTCACAACATGTATAAATATCAACGATTATTTGTTTGTATAATCTCTAATTTGATTGTTATGACTGCAAAAATCATTCAAAAGTTTTTTTTTCCGTTTGTTTTTGTGGAATTAATTTTGATTATGAACCAATTTCTGCTTTTCGAACAATTTATCTATATGCCATAACAATAAGCCCAGAACAACTTCGTTTATGTGTGTAAATCACATTGCCTAAACTGCGTGATAACAAAATTAGGTATTGACAATTCACTTGGAAGCTCAATATATACATACACGACACGTACAAAAGAGGAAATCCTGAACAATCATAGTTCTGGTCTATTTTCCTATAATATTTCAACCACATATGGAAAACTGGACCGTCCTTCACTGTATTGAGATCCTGGTTCTAACAAGTACGCAACGAACCCTCCTTCCAAATTATTAACATCATTTTTTCCATTACGTAACTTTCGTTTTGGGTTTGTAACCGATCTATAAACATGATAAATACGCGCACACCTTTATCTAAAGATTACTCCCTAACCTTGATTTTCCTTTTATTTTCGTATCTGTAAAACAGGAAAATGTTTATATCAGAAAACGGGATATATTTATGTACATATGTACAAGTCTAAATTGAGAACAACGTTCAAACCTATGATTGCGTTGGATAAAAACCGCAATTTTTATACGTGTGCATGCAAAACAAATTTCTTGGTAGAGGGGTCTAAATACAGCACGAACATATGTATATATACATTTATATATAACTATGGCATTATAGATGCAGGAAAAAAATCATTCAAAATAACGTATCTGGCTTTATATACATGGGTATGAGCTTGACGACATATCCGATTGAAATGTGCTGTTACGAAAACTCTGGATTCAATTTTTGATTCTTATTGTCGGTGGAGCGATAGTAAGCTCCGTTTATGGACTCCTAATGAATCAAGTACGCCGCTAAATTAACTTTTGTGACGACCCCTGTAATTTTTGCTGTCAGAGTCGGGGTCAACAGTCGGAACGGAGACTTTCCGTAAATCTCTATTACTGACTTTTGTCGTTTTTGTTGTTGCAGGATTAATTTATCAATTCATTTATTTATTTATTTTCTTTTATTTATATTATACATTGTTAAGCTTTTCATGTTGTTTTTGTTTTCATGGTATGTCTTTTTGTTTGTTCAAAATGTGATATTGAGAAAAAATATCAGTTTATGTCATGTTAGTAAAAAAACGGGTATGGTGTAGGTGAACAGGGAAATAATTAAGTTACACTAATGATAGCAGGTCCTGACTATGGATGAACTCTCATGCGCTCGAAGGAAAAGCGTTACCTGCTAAAATAGTGACACCCGTTACATTATTATCTTCTATAATAAGTTTCATACCATGAATGCTAGATGTTTATTTTTACCCTTAAATACTACAAAAATCATAAACAAATATGTACAAATTCTCTAACCCTAACATAAAATCTAATGTGAGAGTTTGCAATTGAAATACGAAGATTTGTTCAAGAAGATACTGACCGATAGAAAAAAAACTCTTTAAAAAGACTTCACTATCACAAAATCAACACTAATACATTCAGATCAAATGAAGTCCGGACGTGCAAGCAGTTTCCGTTACACAGGTGGCACAGATCATATGGCTCACGAAAAAAAATTGTATCATTATACAGTATGCGGAAATAGTCATCCGAGAGCAAGACATTGCGAAGAGAAAACATCAACTTTGCCATTAAGAATCCTTGGTTCAGTTCAGAAACTTATTAATTGTTAGAAGTAAACCTGTATCGAAGAAATTTATTTGGTAATGATAGCTCTGAATTATCGTTCCGTTTTTTTATAACAATCTATTTCTTTTTACATCGCGATGACCGTGAGGGCATTCCGATGTATTGCTATCGCCTAGATTTCCATTACGTAACTTTCGTTTTGGGTTTGTAACCGATCTATAAACATGATAAATACGCGGATATTAACGAGTGCAAACTAACATTCCTTATCGTTTGTTATAAATACATCTCTTCAATGAATACTTATAAAAATATTTTTGTTTAGAACATAAATTAATAATATGAAAATGTTTTGTCGTTAGATATATATATATATATAAGTAAAAAATCATTGATAATATCTATGCACACGTACCGAAAAATTGTGTTAAAGCATGCGGAAGAATATCTCAAGAACGTTTTGCGACAATCCCGCAAGGACCGGTAACTCTGTAATTGTTTTTGCGGGAAAATATGAATGCCTACTCATATCCAATCTTTTACAGAAGAGTGTCCACCATGCACTTGCACTGCACTATTATTAGAATAGTATAATAGAATGAAATACAAATGGATGAAAATTATATATATATGTAACTGGTATATTTTAATACTGATTTGTATCACTACAATATAATAGTTATTACGGTGAGGTTGAATTTCCTGTCATTTATTCATTATCCACGCACGAACTTGTCTCAGAAAAAAATATATCCCTGTACATTAACCTCAGTTTCAGGTATAGAGGTGTGATTTTTTTCTGTGACAAGTGCTTTTGACCATCCACAAGAATTTGCGATCATCCGATGTTCAGTACTTCAGTACTTTGATTATTTGACACATGCATAGAAAGGAAAAAATAATCAATAATGAATGTCTGTAATTAAAAGATGTTTACAGAAAGTAATCCGTTTACACATGTTATTATAAGAAAATGTATACTTGTATTCTACATATCTAGGAAATGGCCCAGTTGTCTGTCCTGAGGAAATGTCCTCTGATACTGGATATTATCCAGGGTGCAAGTGTAAGTTTTTAAACCTTATTTTTTCTAATTTCAATAGAGCATAAAAAGAGAGGCGAAGGATACCTTCAACTAAATAAGAACGATTTTATTAAAAGTATGGGTTTTACTAATTGTTGAAGGCCGTACGGTGACCTATAGTTGTTAATTTCTGTGTCATTTGGTCTCTTGTGGGGAGTTGTCTCATTGGCAATCATACCACATCTTCTTATTTTTATATTTAGTAATTTAGTAATTTTGCTGAATGTCCACCCGAACGACAACTGGATTCAGTTTTGTTTCCTTTATCATGTGTTAGTTACAACTTTTACTGCATATTGTTATATATTTAGAGACTTCCATATGTATTTAATTTCAAAAATTGTTCTTAGTACTTAAATTGTCTAATTTTAACCAGTAATATCTATGATAAAGAACATCAGTTTAGTTATGTTGTTTGCTATTGTGCTAGGACTCTTGAATGCTTTGACGACATATACTAATTCTGTTTTTAACTCATCACTGATACCAGGTGCATTTCGTCTACAAAAGATTCATCAGTGACGCTCGAATAAAAAAACTTAAAAAGGTCAAATAAAGTAGAAAGTTGAAGAATATTGAGGATCAAAGATAAATTGATTTTTTATTGTTTTTGGTATTATCCTTTTTCAGCACTATACAACGATGTCCACAGCTTTTTTCACACTATTCACTATTCGTGACGTTGCTATCATATGGGTTACTTTACTGTTTTTTTTTCTAGATATGTATTTTATCTTTCCTCGATACATGTATGTTTTCCTCAGTATAAAACAAGGTGACGTCGCCTGAACGAACCCTTTATCAAGGCAAAAATTACACAATGTGTTTGACATGTGATTGATATACACTCCTTGGAACTTCTGTGGTGTTTTTATATTTTAAAATTATGAATGACCATTTCTTAAAAGAGGGAATGCTAGGATTCAACAAGGAAATAACTTCCCCGAATATTCATATTTTTTTATGATTTTAATTTCCTTGTTATCTTTTTGTTCGTTTTTGCATATACCTGGTAAATGTAATCTAAATACAATTTCAAGTGAAAGAAATGTTGTATGTTTCATTTTAACTTGAAGCATTAACTATCTACTTCAATAGCTAACTTTCCAACAGAAATTGTACAAGTAAATGTTGACGCTGAGCTGATAGAAGGACAAAGCTTTCAAATACCAATACATGGTAACCAATCCTATTCTAGCTTATTACCAGTATTTCGATGTACATTTGCTGATGTTTCGGAAGGCAGCTACGTTTATGACGTTCACGGGTACATAAATGGAGTTAATGTAAAAAGCCATTCGAATGTACAATTTTCAAATATAATTTCTACGGTTCTTAGGGATACAGACTGGATCAGCCAATTTAAGATGAACATGGAGGTACTTGCCTAAATACGATAAGTATTCTTGTGTATAATTTCAAACAAACATTGAATTTATGAATATCAGAATAAAATTCTAAAATTGTTCAAAGTACTAAATGTTATGATGTTGTATGTGTATCTGTTAGAAAATGCTATAGGAATTAATGAAGGGGTGAGACGGGTTATAAGTCAATAAGACAACAACAAAACTACACAAATAACCTAAAAACATCTAGATGGCAACATACAGTCTTCAGCAACAGATAGTTGTCCATACAATACGTCAAGCTGCAAATCGCCAAGAGGCTATTAAACAATGACTCAGTACTGACTTCTTGTTTTATACAGGTGAAATGTGCTATTCGTATGAGATATTCAACAGATTCAGCACCTGGATTGCTTCTCTATAGTCAACTATATCAAGCTGGGATTTTTGTAAGTCACGTTTTTTTTCTTCGTTTGCATTTAAACCTTTTAAAACTTTTATACAATTTTCATATAGATTCTTACATTGGTACAAGTGAATTATCGGATTTATCTAATCGAGATAGTTAAATTATCGATGAAACTTACGGACCAGTAAATAAAATCTGGACAACCTGCTGTCTCAATCACGATAATGATGATGAATATTGTCTCACTGACAGTTATTATCACCAATTGTAAAAACTCATTGAAGATACCATGCTTATAATCAAGATAATTTAGTACATTGTACGTTTCGCACACAAAATATTAGTTTCACCGATTCAAAACAGTTGATACGCCAAATCAAACACAAGGTTGAAGAACATTAAAAAAAAAGAAAGACGAAAAGTTCTGCCAAATACCACAAAGACTATCTACAAAACCTATTTTAGAAAAAGTGTTCATTTGTAGAATTTGTTGTCACTCCATTTTATTGAAAAGAGTCTGTTACTACCGAATAAACTAACCTATAATGTATAAATCTTGATTGAAATAAACATAGCATTATATTATATTTTACTAGAAGTATACATAATCAAGTTATAAACTCGAGTTTATTTTTAATGAAAGTTATTCTTATTATCATTTCGATTATGCAAAAAAAAAAAGAATAATCATTTGCGCATATTATTCCACGACAACCTCTTCTTTGTGTGTTTCCTTTACAGCCAGCAAAATATGAATATACTGTGAATGAGGGAGACTCAATCGACATAACCTTTACTTCAAGTGTACCAGTTGGGTGTATATCATCGCATGACGCCATAAGAACACATTGTGAACAGGATTTCTACATTTTCCAACCGATGGATGATCAAACTTCAGTATCATGCAGGAACAACATTGCAAACAGAGATATAGTTTTTGAAGCTCAATTTTGTGGTATAAGTATGAACAGTCTCCATTGGAAAAATGAGACTGCGAGTGTATGGTTTTAGTGACTCACTGTATAACTTTCAAGACAGATCGACAATTCTCAAGATATCTACATCAGCAGTGTCGGATTTAAATGAAATTTGGAGAGATGTACAAGTTCCAGATATAAAGGTAATATAGGCTAAGCTTTTTATGATGATTTTCCATTTTTGCCATATAAATTAGCGCAGTTATTTCAAGTATTTCCTTATTATTTTCAACAAATTATCACGATCAAATTAAAAATATGTGTGTTCATTGAAAAGTCTGTTCTTTCAGATCACAGTTATAGACAGGGATTCTGTACTTATTGACAGACAATGTATGTCTCACAACGACCCCCATATTACTACTTTCGATGGGAGATTGTATCATTATATGAACGTTGGGGAATTTATTATGTACCAGAATGACATAGGTCCTTATTCGGTATGTACTGATATTACAAACGAGTGAATTAATTTATTATGACTATAATTATAACTATAATTTACCTATAGGTTGCACTTTGTAAATACAGATGTTTCACAAGCCACGCCTCTTTTGGGGAGATATATATAATATTCATAGATATGTTAATTTGTTAACGTACTGGTTCCCAGATATGATCTCTGTGTTTCATCTCATAGAGACATAACTTGGGAATGTTACCAGTATAGAAAAACATGGTAGCGCCTAATTTTAATTCTTAGGAGGTCCAAAAGTGAAGGTAGGGTAGTATAGAATTTTAGTATAAGTTTAAACTCATAGAAGTTCAGGGCATATAAATGTTGAAAATATGCCGCACAGCCCTTAATTTTGACCTTTGAATAAAATAGTAGTGCATATCAACTTTCCGTTCTGGGATATAATTTTTCACGAAACTTCATAGTAAAAGTGGCACACTTTTAGCCGCAAAGGGAGTTCCTATGAGAAATTGCATTGTCTATATTTACAGAATTGCAACCTATATAGGATGAAAAAAAAGAACATGTAAAATTTTACCAAATCTGGTTTATCTCAGAGATTTAAATGAAATGAACTCAAATACAAAGTTTTATGAATATTTCATGAAGATTGAGAAAATCCTGGGCCTTAACTATGATGACTTAGCATAAATTCACAGTTTACACTATGCATAGTTTACTTAAAGGCCTGGATTCAAAATAAATTCTAAATGTATGCATATTTGTTATTTGAATTGTTTAGAAGTGTTTATACTTACTCTTCGCAGTCATTGAAACTCATAGATCCTTCCTGAATATTGTTTTTTTGGGTGTTTTTGTTCTGTCGATAACCCAAAATTAAGCTGTTACACCTGAATGAGCTTTTTTGTGACGGTGGCATAAAAAAATACAAGCTAGAAATACAAAAATACCTCAATAAAACTAACAATAGTGTGTTCTATCCTAAATATGTACTGAATATTCCATATTCACAGAAAAAGCAAAATAATTTAGCAAATGTGAGGCCCCAGTGCCAAAAAAAACCCCAGAAAAATGCCTAATCTCTGGGTCACAAAACAGATAATTTAACCTGTAAATGCTATGATTTTATTATTTTAAAGGTCTTTTGTATAGAAAACAATAACTATGCTTTAAAATTATGCAAAAAACAGATGTTAGCAGTCAGTTCTATAAAACATTTAGTGAAGTCATACATTAGACTGGTAACTTCATACATACAACTTTTGAAAATATGGCTTTGTTTAAACACTTCTATTTCATATATTAGCTAAATTATGTTAGATATATGGCTAGAGATGATATTGTTGTGACAACATTCCTACACTGACCATTTGAGGTAAAAATTGTTAATTTTGATCGACAAATATGCATACAGTTAGATGTGGACAAAGGCAGGATTGGATACTTCATATATCCTTGAATATTGGAATGATTAACTACTAAACTTTACATTTATAGTATTCTGAAATGCTTTTAATTTGTTATAAGAATAGTTTCAAACATGTTCTAGACATTTCATGTCAAAAAACATGCACATAGGGTAAGCTGACAATAATTAAAGTCTTGTTTTCAAATTCTTTAAAAAAATTGAAACAGGGGTGGGGGTATAAAATGTCCTTTTAAAATTTTTTAGAGTATATGCAGTGATTTCTTTAAGGCTATAATTCTGATAAATAAGTATTGTTGTGAGAAAATGTGTTTTTCAAGAGTTTTCTATTTGAAAAATAAATGTTTGTATAGTTTGCACTTTGTAAATACAGCTGTTTCACAAGCTTTATATTCATAGATATGTTAAGTTGTTAACGTACTGGTTCCCAGATATGATCTCTGTGTTTCATCTCATAGAGACATAACTTGGGAATGTTACCAGTATAGAAAAACATGGTAGCGCCTAAAATTTAATTCTTAGGAGGTCCAAAAGTGGAGGTAGGGGTAGTATAGAATTTTAGTAGAAGTTTAAAACTCTTAGAAGTTCAGGGCATATAAATGTTGAAAATATACCGCACAGCCCTATATTTTGACCTTTGAATAAAATAGTAGTGCATATCAACTTTCCGTTCTGGGATATAATTTTTCACGAAACTTCATAGTAAAAGTGGCACACTTTTAGCCGCAAAGGGAGTTCCTATGGGAAATTGCATTGTCTACATTTACAGAATTACAACCTATATATAACTAGATAAGATTTTGTTTACGTTGAAGTCAAGAAAAAATCATTGACAATCATTTTTATTCTTAAAGCAGCGGCCACATTCCTCAGTCAAAGAACAATGAGACTTAAAAGTTTCATGATTGTTCAACGGGTATCAGTTAATGGTTAGCGAAAACAAAAATATAAAAATATAGAAGTACGATGTAATGACTCGACAATGTTTCTGACACAAGTAATACGAAAATTTGTTGTTTCCGTTTAAACTAATAATGTTTTCTGCTATGCACCAGGTGCACGCTTTATTTACAAACTGTGGGTTTGGCTGGACAGGATCATCGTGTCATTGTGGTATAGCTGTAAGAAGTTGCAATTCTTTGTTTGTCTTACGGACATGCCAGACGATATCAAGAACACAGAAGCATTTACTACAAGAACCTATTACTAAGCTTATAAGTTGTGATGCACAGGATTTAATGATAGAACATAATAGAAATAATTACAAGGTTTGTTCAAAAGTACAAAAAGGAAATGTATTATCTCAAATGTCTCTGTGTATGACTAGTGTACGACTTGTGAAGTACCGTATTGTATGTGCCAAAATGTCAGAAATATATAAATAGAAAGGGCAATCCCAAGGGCAATTACTATACAAATACAGGTGTACAGACAACATGGCGCAATAAACGTATTTTATACGTACATGTTTATAGTCTCCTATGGTCTTGATTGATAGATTATGGGTGCTGAAGTTGTGTGTCATTTTATGTGCTTTACATATTTCCCTTTGTTTGTCTTCGTGCTATTGTGTTTCGTTTGGTTTGATTTTTTTTAGACGTGACTCGGTATTTATGCATCCCGCTATCTGGTTTTCGACTTTGGGCATTCTTGGTGCAGGTGGGTGCTGAGGAGCGATTCGGACGCCAGAGGTTATTTTCACAGTTTTGTTTCCATTGTGTTTACCCTTGTAGTTATACTTTATTTAATTTGTACTTTATCGAGAAGGTGTGAGCTATATACGATGTGTACTATCAACCACAAAAACTTTTTTATCGGCGTCTTTGCCAATATACTATCAACTACATAAACGTTTTTGTTGTCGTCTGTGTCAAATTTGTAATGGACTGCAACATTTGTTTTCCTGGCGTCTTTGTTGGATTTGGTTGTATGTTTGTTTGGATTTTTTAGTCAGTTGTGAAGTATGGTTACACAATCTTGGCTGTTGGGTCCTAATTGTTGTCACATTTACCTATTATGTTTGTTGGTCACCCAATTTTTGTCAATATAATGGAACCATAATCAACTGTCATACAAGTTGGAGGTTTAGATAGCTATAAATTCAGGTTTAACCCACTGTTTTCTTCGGAAAACGCCTGTACTTAGTCAGGAATGTTCACTCGTTCCGTTCAGGTTTTATGGACTTCCGCTATTTTAATTCACCTTGGAGTTTTTTTTCTGGTAAATAGCTTTTTTGCAAGCAAACTGTAACATTCAAACTGCTGTTTACGACACCATGTCGATTATATTCATAACAAATTCCATGGTTGTGAAGTAAATAAGAATACGTTTAAGCTTAAATGTGAAAGGGCGGAATAAAGACAGTATTCGTACATAGAAGAAGAATTCGATACACAGTCCTTCGAATGAGTTAGCATTTTACCAAAGTAGAAAACCAGGTTAAGCATGATTGTTCTCATTCTTTTGTCAGATTTATTGTTCAAAAATTTAAACAGCAATGTGTTTTTTTTAAAACTTTTTACTGTTTTTTTAATTAAAATCTTAGGTTAATTTATTCTGTTTTATGTATTACAGACTTGTGTAAATATATGTGGTTATTCCTACTTTGTAGATAACATTGCCTACCGGAACAGAAATCAAATTTACGATATCAAGATGGTCAAAATTTATATCAATGATTGCAATAAAGCCATCTATTTTTGATATCAATGAAGCAAGAGGTTTATGTGGTGTTCCAAGTACGACAAAAGACAAGTCGGAAGATTTTACTCATCGTCAGAACGGACCGATCAACAACGAACAGTCATTTGCAGATTCCTGGAGGTATTATTTGGTTTTGCATGCACAGAGATAAAAAGGGTTACCATTTAAACCCCCCCCCCCCCCTTTTCCCCCTATCTTTTGTGATTTGTTTTCCACTCATAGGTTTATTTTTAGAGTATTTGATCAAGGAACCTACGATTTTGTTATATTTGTTTCTTTTTATTTATTCGTATCCGAAGTTAGAGGGGAGGAACGGGGTGTCCTATTAAATAGAGGAAATGTTGTTAAAATATAGGATTTACTTTAGTCAATAATATTATATCATCGAATGTTTTAGTATTTATTGCCCTTCCCCATTAACCACTTTCTGAACCTGCCTTATTGTTGTCGTTTTGTTTACATTCGCATCACATTGTTTAGCTTGAAAAATATAATTTTCAATTACAGGTCCTTTAGGGAGAATAAAAAATCAAGTGTTTTAATTTATATAATTTGGCCTTTATTATACTTCCCAGTTAACATTTTACAGCAGATGTTAATACACGTAATCAGTTTTACAAAGGCATTTACTGTACAATAAATATAATAACATTGAACAGACACGTTAAGTGAAACATTTTTAATAATAGAAAAAAGTAATAAATTGTTCACAATAGGTATATCTACTATCCAAAACTCTATAGTCCACCGCGTAAATTGGGATTGTTGATAAGTAGTTAAGGAAAAAAAAAAGTATATCATATTAGATAAATTGACGATCTCCAGTCCCTCAAAAACCTTTATTTATATATAAAGACGTCCCCTTTTTTGAATTTGCCTTGGCGTTCGTTATTTTTTATATACTTTTTGATGCCAGTTTTTGTGCAAGGAGTGCACCTCTGCCAACGAAGTCAATAACGTGTGTTTATGCACGACTTTTATATAAAATTTCAGGTAGACAACTTCAAACCTGGATCCAAAATAATCGTGAGGATTTTAGCTTTCCAATTCTGTCAAATCTTAATGTGTATTACATTTCTCAATTGGTACATAACGCATGTGCATGTTCACATTATACGGACTTTATTAGCAGGGGTTTGATCCTGACACAAACTGAGTACGAAAAGGACTACTGAAATCGACACTACATCTATTTTATGATCACCGTCATAAATTGGTTGACCGATATGATGATTCACAAGCGACATTTTTCCTCGGTTTTACATTTTTTAGATGAACAAGAAAAGTCGTCCGATCTATACATTTAGCGATTGTGTCTTATTCCATAATTTGACTGTAAGGATTGTATGGTTGGTAAAGCATGCATAGTCATAAATATTCCTGTAAAATGCCAGAAAAGGATCAACCTCCTGTATATTATCTTTTAATAATACTGATAGGTCAACAGTGAACGGGAGAGTTTTTTTGCTCTCCCTTTCCTGTGACATTAATTGAAAAACTCAAAGCCTCATTTATCTGGTTACTTGAACCAAGCCAAAGTAAAATATACAGTATTTAGGACAGATTTTTTTCAGAACACATGCTATACTGCTTCCGAAAACCTAAGAAATTAAAAAGTATGATTTACCAACATTTAGCAAAACACAATCACAATATATAAATTTATAAAATTCCAACCTTTGGAATCGATCCAGAAAAAACAAGGACAATAACATAAACAATTTGAAGATTCCCGTAACATTTGAGAACTGTTTTGAATTTAAACGACTGCAGAAGGCATATCCTCTCGATCTAAATGACAATATAATGGGACAAGGAAAAAGATCTAAAACTTCCTATATTGTTATCATGAATATAAGTGATAAAAGACAACAAAAAATAGATCACATGGTAAAGGTATCAATCGAAATCATTGATTTTGAACATCGTAAAAATTATATACCTGACGATCTCTTATTAAAAAAAATAGGTAGGCATCAATTATTATGCAAACTTGGTCAAATATCAGTTAGTAAATTACATGATATTTTGAAAGAGTGTGACAGAATCTCGTTTTTCAGACCACTTCTTGAATGTACGCGTAGAACTATAATTACAGATTTTTGTCAACATAGGCTGTTCCCGTGTATCAATAATCCTGAAGATCATAAACGGCATTTTTTGAAAATTCAATATATGAACAGAGGTATTGTTTTTATCAACGTATCTAGTATATTTAATGACTCTACAATTCAAAACTGTTACCTCCCGATTTTGAATGAACATTGAACTATCTTTATCTCGTTTTCATACAAAAAAAACCCGGTAGAAGTTTAATTTTTATTAGGAATTCTCTGTAATCACCAACCAAGTTGCGGCCTGCTTAGTCTCCGATTTTCTTGAAACTTTGTTTGTTGATAGCTATTGATAAACTTATCAGAAATATAATTACCAAAAAAAAAAGTTTATGTCCCCGTTGCCATGGTAACGGGTTCCCTTGGAATTTTGCTCAAAATTGCATATTTTGACCTAGAAAAATGACCAACTTCAAGCAGTTATCATGCACTCATTTGTTCATTAAAATAAAACATTAAATTAGTAAGACAAAAGATAAATATTAGTTCTAACAAAAAGGGTTGAAGGTGGCAGCATTGATTGACATACGGGAGTTTTCATCACATTCAAGAAGGCAAACTATAGTAATTTTGAATGAACTTATTACATATTTTTGCATCCGCACCCATATAATGAGGTTATTATTGAAAACTATCACTATTGCCTAGTAACAATTAATGACAAAAGGTTTTGGATTCAGGTTACTTGGGGGAGAGGGGGGGGGGGGGGGGGGTCATGGGAACCTCAAAGAGTAATTCTTGTAATTTTTTAATGAATTTTGATCACAATATCTCACAAACCGTTACAGATAGAAGATGCATATAAGATGAAAATGTCCTTTAGTTTGACCCAAAGGTCAAAGATTATTGATGACATTGACCTTGATATTTTTTCTATAGTCTTTTTTAAGATTTTGTCAAAAATAGTAACAATCGGACGCAAACATTAAATAGAAAAAATGAATGTTTAGAACAATTATTGCTTTTATTTGGTAACAAGGCTAAATTTGAGAGGTCAAGGTCATTTTAAAAGTTCTAAGCAACGACCCTTTATTGATATAAAAGTACCTAGCAACCATACATATTTTGGTTCAGAACTATATGAATTATTATATAGATCCTTATGGAAGGGTATTAGGTCAGTATCGTCACCAAGGCCAATTAGAATTTCCAATTATTTTAGAATAGAAATTGTATTTCCTGACGGAAGTAATTTACTGACATGATTTTTCTAATGTGTAATTCAGTTAATTTCCACCCCAGTTGCCTTTTATTCTTACTTAAAACATCGTAGAATTTTCTTTTTGATCATGTATTTAGTGTTCATAACTTTAAAATGATTTGAATACTAATACGGTTTTCCCAGGCATATATAAAAAGGTTGATAACAAGGGGATAATGGATCAATTTCGTCACTTAAGCTTTAGTAGCATTCTAATACCGTGAAAATTGCATTATCAAATGATTCAAATGCAACGCATGTCTTGTGCAAACGGCCCTTATTGTTACTACCTAATGAAAATTATGACTGGTACAGATACAAATAGAACACTGAAATTAAAAAAAATACTAAGTAATTAAGCAGTAAGAGCAAAACAGTCATTATGGTCAGTACGTGTTGATCTATCCAAATATTTTTTGGAATAATTGGACTTCATTAATCGTTTGATTTAAGCAAATTTCGCTGTTATTTGTCTTGGGAACTATTTTAGATAGACATTCATTAAAGTAGTGATACATAGTTGAAATAATCAAACACAAAGTAGTAAACACGGCAGAAATTGTCTTAACGCTTTATTGCCCATATCTGACAATTTTATTCAAATTTTGAGCTCACTTGGCCCACAATGCAAAGTGTGCTTTTCTCATCCATTTTCGTCCGTTGTAATCAAAAGTCTTGTTCTCTGACTGGGCCAATTTGAACCAAAACTCATCGTTCTAAGGGTATATCTATTTAAAAAAATTGGTTCGATAGGAAGTATTGCCTTTGCATTTGCTATTTTTGTCAATTTTGTGGTTTTGTGGAATCTGTATAATAGATAGAGCATGACAAGATCATGGCTGAAATCATCAGTTGACTCCTTATAGTTAAAGGCTAAATACAGATTTCATATGCATTAAAATACATAATATATGATTCACAACTTTAAAATCAATAGGTTGTATACAAGATAAGTACATGTAATACAGTGTATAATTATTATTTTTTGTAACACATTTCTGACTAATTAGAAAAACACATCTTTAGCATTTGTTAGGATCAAATGTGAATAAAAGTTTGATTTTGCGTTTTTTCTTGATATGACATTCTTATTTTAGTGTATCGATTTTATGCAAAAATACCAGCTGAGCATCTAGTTTTGCTTTTTGTGTGGTCTTAATCTTGAAACTTCAATAAATTGATAAAAAGCTATTTAGCAAATCCAAGTTATTCGTAGTGAAAATCATTATAGATAGATGGATAATTTAATAGTAAAAATTACAAATAAGACAAATTAATCAACATGGCCGAAATTGTTCATTGACTCTGTACAGACGCTATTGTTCTTATATGGCGACTATAACCCATTTTCAAATCTAATTTCAAGAAACTACAATTAATCAATTTCAAATGTATACAACACATATAATTTGCCAGACCAGATCTACAAGAAGGTCAAATTTGACTTGAATCGTCAGTAAACTTAGTATAATGATGATTATGTTCATTGTGTTTTGGTTAAACTTATGGCTGATACACAGCGCTAAAGCAATCAACAAAAAAGATGTTCCAAAACTATAAATGACACAGAGAAACTTTACACACCAAAGTCAATCAGCTAAACAAGATCAACATAAATAATTTAATAAACAAGTAGTTTCCATTCAGTGACAATTTTCAACCATTTTTTGTTTGTTTAAAAGCTGTTAAAGTAAAAGAGAAATTGGAAACTAAATAATAAAATATATGTTTCACAGATGACAACGTGTCTGTTCCAATTGTCGTAACTTTAATCCCGTCCCCTTTCTCCCGAATGTGATCTACCGAATCAGACTTATCACCAGGTTTAAACTTACACGAGCAACACCACGGGTTCCACATGTGGAGCAGGATCTGCTTACCCTTCCGGAGCATCTGAGATCACATTAGATTTCGATGGGGTTCGTGTTGCTCAGTATTTAGCTTTTTATGTTGTGTTTTGTGTACCGTTGTTTTTCTATTGTTTTTCTTTTTAAGCCATGGCGTTTTCGGTTTATTTTCAACTTATGAGTTATAATGTCCCTTTTGTATCTTTTGCCTGTCTTGTACAACATCGATTTTTCGCCATCCTTGAGAAATATAATTGCTAAAAAGAAGCAGTGAACAGCTTAAATGAGAACCTATAGCTCTTTGGCAGTTATTGCCCTAAAAGACATATTTTACTAAATTTTCGGATTTTATGATTATCTTTAAAACTTTAATAGATAGGGGGAAATATGCACACCAAGATGAAATATACATAAAAAAAAGGAAATCCTAATCTAAAGAAAAGATGCATGTTTGATATCAATTATGTGGTACTTTTGTCCAAATTAACCCGAAAATATATAATAGTTGCTAGGCATTTTTCTAATAAAATTGTATGGTTGGTATGCGCTTTTCCAAATCAAATGAATGGTTGCTATGCACGTTTCTACTATAAATTAATGGTTGCTTAGGATTTTTTTCATCTCTGACATTTAATGGCTATGTAATAGTCTATATAGTTCTGAACTAAGATATATATGATTGCTAGATACATTTGTATCAAATAAGGGTTGTTGCTTAGCACTTTTGACATGACTTTGACTTTGACTTTTTACTGTTGACATTTAAACAAAAAAGTGGCTTTAATCGTCCTGATAATTTTCCCCTTGTATTATATGCTTCTTTTCATTTTCTTTCAAAATCCAATTTACATACTCAAGGTCAAAGGTCAAGGTCATCAATGGCCTTTGAAAAAGGGTAAAATTTACGGTCATTAAATGTTCATTAGTTTTCACTAAATATTTTTTCGATGTATATAACTGTTGATAAAATTTTTAAGAAAAAAAACCAAAATGACAGATGTTGGTTTCCATATCAACCATCCTAGCACCCTGAATCCCAAACATGTTGTTGTAAATTATTAATTAGAATCATTGATACGTCATATTGATAACTAGAATAAGTACTCGCAAAGGGGTTTGTGTTTGTTACGGTTGACAATGCAGCTAATAATGTGGTGGTGGTATGACGTAAATACTACACTGAAATTCTAAAGAATGAATTTATAAATTATTCTATATGCAATTAAATGTAGAAAATTTATTACAAACGGGATAGCACTTTACACTGTAATTAGATCATTGAGTATTTTTATCGGTTAAAATATTGATTTTGTTATCAATACATTAAAACTCAACTTAATATTATAGCTATATCAATTATGCACATTCATGATGTTAAATTATGTCGAGACCTTTATTTTGGCATTACACAAGATCATGTTTTTATCTGATTCTCAATGACGTCTTTACACTAAATCATTTTGATGTTGGATGTGTACTTGTTGATACTTTAGTCTTTTTATTAGTTGTTATTGACTTTGAATAGCTTTCAGAAACGGCGAGTACTGTCAGATCGAACTTTGTGTCTGTTTTTGTTGGTTGTTTTGAGCTTTTTATAGGTCTGATGAGTTAAGCCCTTTTGAACCAATTTTAATAGTTTGTACTTATCTTATACTGTTACACCACTGTCCCATGTTAAGGGAGGGTTGGGCGCCCGCAAACATTTCAATCCCGCCACATTCTGTATGTGCCTGTCCATAGTCAATAGCCTGTAATTCATTTTGTTGCTGTAAATCATATTTGCTTTTCGTTTATTGTTTTGTACATAAATCAGGCGATTAATTTTCTTGTTTGAATTGTTTTACATTTGTCATTTCGTAGACTTTTATAGCTTACTGTGAGGCATAGGTTCGTTCATTGTTGAAGGCCATACGGTGACCTATAGTTGCTTGCTTCTGACTCATTTGGTTTTTGGTGGAGAGTTATCTCATTGGCAATCATACCATTCTTTTTGTTTTTATATTCAAAGGGCATTATCTTTCCTCATAATTCAAATGCATCATTTCCATACTAACTCATTTTCACCTTTTCTTGCAGAATAACTCCGACAATGATTTCTGAACAATTGTTTTGCGTCGAACCAGATTTTTTTAGTAACTTAGATGATGGAATCGGCAATAGTATTACAGGAAACAATAACACGCGTTACTGTACATGTGAAAGACAAGCTAGCAGCACTGTTACACTAGATGATTTCGATACTGTACAGTGTAATTTAACTGAAATTACAGAATTTTTTTCAGAAGCCCTCCGGACTGAGGAAGAGACGATGACTTCATTTTCTACTTCATGTTCAATATCTCAAAGAAAAAAGCGTTCTGTTAACTCAGTCGACAAAATTGTACGACGCACCTTCGGTGGTGATGATGACGTAATTGATGTTCCGTGTTTCACATACGACGAGAGTGTTTTTAATACAGAGGTGACGGTATGTTATCATTTGTCTAACACGAAGCTATTAGATTATAGATAGAAAAATACTTATTACATGAGAAATGTTGATTAGGCATGACGACTTACTACAGATAGCTTAAAACAAGTTAAATAATTTGTCAATAAATAACCTTTCAATATAGTGTCGAATTTTTATTATATTATTATTAAAATAATCTTATGTTTGTTGAATGCTTATTACAACAGTGAGAAATAAAAATTTAGTATCTAAAAGCAATAAAAGGATTTGTGCTGATCAAATTCTTAGCCTCTTCATCTAATTCGCAGATCCCTGGGACATTTAGAAATGGCTGGACGGAAAACACTGCATGGCAGACCTGCATGGACGAAATACAGAATGCGCTTCCACCAGGGGTGGCCAATTTGGTAGATGTATCTGTAGCCGAATTTGTTGAATCATGCGTATTGGATATTAAGGTTACCATAATCAATGAAAAAGATTAACTAACAATATAAACATTAGTCATAAAACCAATGAAACTTTTTGGATTTTCATTAATCATATAATGAAGACATCTATAAACACTACACAGCAGACGTTTATTGTAAAGTTCTTCAATTTTATACAAAATGAGAAGGAATTCGAACAAATATTTAATCAAACCTAAATGATAATACTGTAAGAAAATAGATATGAATTTTACCAGGATGATAAAAGGTCATAATCAGACACGAAAAAATAATGGTTTTACCTGTTTTTGTCTTGTATTCAAACCAATGAATTCCACTCTAGCAAATATATTATGCTTTTCATAAAGCAGATTATATGATAAACTTTAGATATTCATATTTCTAATGTATAAGTTGAGATTTTATATCAAATTTTATTTTTTCAAAAGCTTGTCGGGGATACAACTTTCCTTCCTGACACTATTGGTACTATGCTGACTTTTATTATGACAGAAATAAGGAGGAATGAGTCATTGTACCTTCTCAATACAACAGACGGATCACAGACTTTAGTAGGATATGTCACAAGCTTCTTGTGCCCTAACAACTGCAGTGAAAATGGAAACTGTACAATGGGTGAAATTTTGTTATTCTTCTACCTGTTTTAATAAAACAAAAATGCGTTTGAGACAAATGTCCGTGAAGCTAAAGGAATAAGAACAGTTAGTCCCACAATTTGTTGTAAATATTTAGAGTTCCAATACATGATCTTAAATTTGCCCTTACGTCACTAAGGTACAAGCTATTCCTACAAAAAAAGCAAATTTCACATATGACAACTTTAAATTTGGTGATAATGTGTTATAGATATACGAAAGTGTCTCTAAAATCATTTTGTTCATACTTTTCTGCAACCTATGTTTAAAAAAGGAAATAATTATTATTTCCTTGAAATGCATTTTAAATATTGTTTAATTCATTTGAATATACAATATAATATACAAATCTAATTAAGATAAACTGAAATCTAAAAGAGAGTTCTAAATATCATCCATTATTTTTTTCGTATTTCTTTATGAGTAAAACAATAAACGTTAACTAAAGACCACTGGATGCGGTGCTGTCTTTATAAAGACAATTAATGTTGCAAGGTAAACTGTTCTTTCTTTGTTCATAATTTTTTTCCTTTTCCCAATCCCAATCTGGTGAAATTCAAAAGCCTATAGGATTAACGTGTTATTAAATCAGTCCAAAATTAGAGGTTATCGCTCTTAAAGCGGAAATATTTCTAGCTTATACAAGCAAAACAATACAAAATAAAAAAATACCGAACTCCAAGGTAAATTCAAAAAGGGGGGAAGTCTATAAAACCTGAAACAATCAAATGTTAGACTATATCCACCAACGGAATGAACAGAAAACAACTGTCAGATTCTTGCATTCGTGACAATAATTGGGATCAAATTAATACCGTACAGAAAATGTTCATATTTACTAAAAGCAATCTCAAAGTATTTAATCTGCCAATTTAGAAATCAAGCACTCTATCATTCAAGTAACCCTGGGCTTCCGAGTATATATCATACAGCAAAGGGGGAACAGTACAGCAAGAATCGAATTATGCATAATTCTAATACACGTGTCAAAAAACATTGACGTTGTGATTTAAACAGTAGATAATAGAGGCGTATACATGTAGTACTATTCATTATCAAGAAAACTTTCAATCCAAAAGGTAAAAAAATTGCGGACAATAAAAGTTATATTTTTGTTTGATTCATGAATAATCCTATCAAAACAGATGCGTGTTAAACTTAGCTTATTATAACTTTTTTCGGTTTGAATAAAACTTCCAACAACATTTGTATAGTCATGATTGAACTTAGTAAAGGTTATAACCAATTTATGATAGATAAAATTGAGAATGGAAATTGGGAATGTGTCAAAGAGACAACAACCCGACCATAGAGCAGACAACAGCCGAAGGCCACTAATGGGTCTTCAATGCAGCGAGAAACTCCCGCACCCGGAGGCGTCCTTCAGCTGGCCCCTAAACAAATATGTATACTAGTTCAGTGATAATGGACGTCATACTAAACTCCAAATTATACACAAGAAACTAAAATTAAAAATGATACAAGACTAACAAAGGCCAGAGGCTCCTGACTTGGGACAGGCACAAAAATGCGGCGGGGTTAAACATGTTTTTTGAGATCTCAACCCTCCCCCTATACCTCTAGCCAATGTAGAAAAAACAAACGTACAACAGTTCGCACAGTAAAACTCAGTTTAAGAGAAGTCCGAGATGCATTCCTTTTAGAAAATTTCTGCAGTATTACAACAAAACGCGAAATCGCGATTCTAACGTTAATATTTGTACATTTCAAGTCGTCTTCAAGCTGTAAAATAACAGATTGGTATTGAGGATGTTCGCTGCTCTTATCATTGACTTTTTGTCAGATATTTGGAATTCTCTGGTTTTATCCACGTAATGCCATTAAAACTTTTGCTCGCTAACCCCTACTTTTCTTTTTCTGCTTTTTCAGTTCTGTTGAAAAATGAAAACGACACGTTATATATTTAATGCGTCCGAAGCACTTTTCGGGATTTACCTTCGTCAGGAACGCTCAAAGCCGAATATTTGAAAGCCAAGGATGTATAAAACCGAAACAGTTGAAGAGCTATATAATCAAAAATGACCTAAAGTAATAGCCAAATCCTTCTAAGGCCAACTTTGTCTGAGGTAGTTGAAACCTTAGTTTCTTTAATTATATACTATAAATTTATAACATTTATTTTTAAATCCTTGTAGGGGCCTCTATGGACGAGAGGTCTTAGTAGTCGAACTACTGTATCACTAGCCTGTTAACACTGAGGTTGTGAGTTCGAATCCCGCACGTTGCAGGTCCACTCAACTCCAATCTTAATTGACTAGGATTGATAGTTTTTCCTACCAAAGGTCGGTGGTTCTCTTCGGGCACTCCGGCTCCCTCCGCCAATAAAAACTGACCGCCACAAAATAGCATATAGTGCTGAAAGTTGTGTTAAACACCAATTATTCGGTCAATCAATAAAATCCTTGTTAATTTGAACAGAGTAGCAAACACCCTTCAAGGCGAAATGAGTATATAACAAAACTTTATTTATTTAGGCGTTTGTCAGTGTAATGGCAAATATATTGGGGACGACTGCTCTCAATCAAATACAATCCCGCCATCAAATATCAGTCTTCCATCGTATGGGCTTTGTATTCTTGGAACAGGTGAATGCAGGAACCCAAAAATATTCGGCAATTTCCTTTCAAGGACGGTTTGGTACAACATAAAGTATTTTCAGGTAACGTTTTAGTTTTGGAATTATAGAAAATCGAGTGTGTTGCACCTTATACCGTTTTCCAAGCTTTGAGCTTTTCATTTCTGTATTTGTAATCTTCATAACTATCTATGGATTGTGACAATGGACTGTCAATCCCCTATGTGGTATGTTTACTATCATCATTCATAAGTTAACATATGTTGCGATTTTAATTATTTAATACAAGTCAGAGAACAAAAACATTCGAACGCAATGAAAGATTTTAATATATTATGCATAACAAAAAATTATACCGCACAGTATAACTGACCCTATCAACCACCAATACCCGACTTATCGAAAAACTAAGACATACAAAAGAAAGATATATAGCAAAGAATAATACAAAGTTGGGTAACACGATTTTGAACAGTCGAAAAATTAATTAATTAATGCAACAGTAGTCAAAAGGTAAAATAACAAATACAAAAAATGACCAAAGCACAACGACAAATTGGCGGGATGCATAAGTACCGAGCCACGCCAAACGAATATTACTAAAAATGGAATAAACAGTAAAGTAAACAGGTAAAGTAACCGATGTGCAAACTTTTTATTCGGTTAAGAAGACAAATCAAGGTGTAAACAAAAACCGAAGGAATTGCGTGAATTCCAAAAGGAGCGAGACCGGATGGATCGATATAGTAAGCGGAAAATGGAAAGTGTGTGATGGAAGTTCAAATCGATTCTTTATCGTATATTTTAGTTTCGATTTTGCCTCTTTATACCACTACATTTATGTCGAAAAATGGACAATATTCATGTTTTCTTTTTATTAAGTTATTTTGGATAAATTCTTTACGCTTATCTCATAGACTAAGAATTATCAGCAGTAAGTACATTTTCAAGTTATCTGCTTTGATTTGTTTAATTGCATGAAATGTCTATTGATTTGTCAGTAGATAAATGTTTTCTTTCTGGTGTGTTTCCATAGATGACGATTCATAGAGTAACATATAGTAATAATAATGATCTACAATTAGAGTAATATAGGAATTTCGATAATTGGACGATATCAAATCTTGTCATAACGAACACAAATATTTTAAGCAACAAATCAAAGTCTCAATCATGTCAATGCATGTGCATAAAAAATTATTTTAACATCTTTCATATCTAAAGAAATATTTTTGTTAAAATAATACATGAATTCAAGACTCGACTTATGAAAAACCATTCATTTCTTTCACTAAGATTATCTTTTGAGCATTATGTAAAAAAGTAGTTTATCATATTTGTCCAGAGTTAACTTCGTGGTCAGTAGTTTAGTTTTTCTGAGACTTCACTTGAAATTTTACGATACAAACATAATGGATGGCTGTTTTGTGATAGACGTAAGATTTTTAAGGTAGTAAACTCGATTGTAAAGAAAGCAATTAAAAAGGCACTAGGTTTGATTACGTATGAAAATTATGTGTACCAATTTTAATGAAAAATTCAACATTGAATTTTTTTTTGAAATTTGAAAAATATACCACAAAAAATGCCATTTTTTTCCTAAAATCTTGAAATTTTGTTAAAAATTAATTATTTCCAAAGAATTGTTGTACATTTTAAGAACATATTTAAGTAAAGAAGATTTTCATAATGTTTTTACAAAAATACGCTTGTGTTTATCTGTTGAAATAAAAAAGTTAGGTGTGTCTATCCAAAGGATAGAAATGTCCATAAAAACGAAATTAAAAGTAAATGTCTAAAATTTCTACCCCTTTTATCTCTTAAAGTAAAACATGAAGGTATATTTTTTATTATATATTTGAATTACTTAGGTGAAAAATAGCTTGTATGCAAATTTTCGTAAAAAATAATCATTATGGGATCGAAACTGTATCGTATGCCGTCTCCTGCTATGCATGTATCATTATATATGAGAATACACTCTCAGTCAAAATGTCAAAATCGAGAATAGGACACAATTAGTAAAATACAGTTCACACGACTATTATGGTGACTAAAGGAGAAGAGCGAAAGATACCAAATGGACATCCAAACTCACAAGTCAAAAATAAACTAACAACGCAGAAAAAAAAAGAGTTACAGACATCAGCATACAAAACAGAACATTGAAAACTAAAGACTGAGTAAAACGAAACCCATCAAAAACCAGGGGTGATCTCGTGTGCTGCGGAAGGGTAAGCAGATCCTGCTCCACATGTGGCACAACTAAAGATCTAAGACAGCGAAAACATGGTGATCGTTAGTCTTCTGTAGTATCGATTTCAGTCCTTCTTCCTCATAAGTCTGTTCGATCAGTTTTTGTGTAAGAAGCTAACCGATGCTAAAGAAATCCATATAGTGTAAAAATGCACAAGCGTAGCGTATTAATTAAGAAATGTAAACGACATACGATAGAGGCAGATTGTATGCTACTGCTGAGTAATGGATAGTTGATAATTGTAAGGTTGAAATCTTCACGTTTGTCATAGATTCTAGTTTAAAGTCGTTCATCTCTGTAAATATCAAGGAATATATTAAGCGGGATTTGTAGGTGTTTTTGTAATTAAGTTAAGCAGTACATACTAGGGACAATATGCGTTTGACTTCATGCTTGAAGATGTCCATAAGCAACTAAGTTGTGTCTTGATATATTTTATACGATGATTGGTCAAAAAAAAAGAGTGTTTAATGCCTACACATAGCACGATGATATAATACATTTATATTTGATAACACAAAATGTAAATTTTCCTTTAGTTATCTTTCCTGATGTAAATGTGTCACCTTAATTCCATGTTAGTTGTTATAAAGAAAATATCGCATTCGATTTAGTTTTTTAGCTCACCTTTCCAAAGGAAATGTGAGCTTTTGCCATCTATTGGCGTCCGTCGTCGTCGTCCGACAGGTGTAAACTATTTCAAACAGATTCTCCTCTGAAACTACTAAACCAATTCCAACCAATTAAGCTGAATGATCCTTAGGGTATTTAGAATAAAGTTTGTTGTTTTAGTTTCTGTTTCGTCAAAAAACATGGCCGCCATGGCTAAAAATAGAACATAGGGGTAAAATGCAGTTTTTGGCTTATATCTCAAAAACTAAAGCATTTAGAGCAAATCTGATACTGTGTAAAAATTTTCATTAGGTCAAGTTCTATCAGCCCTGAAATATTCAGATGAACCTAACAACCCATTATTGGGTTGCTGCCACTAAATTGGTAATTTTAAGGAAATTTTGCAGTTTTTGGTTATTATCTTGAATATTATTATAGATAAAGATAAACTGTAAACAGCAAAAATGTTCTGCAAAGTAAGATCTACAAATAAGTTTATATGACCAAAATTATCAATTGACCCCTTAAAGTGTTATTGCCCTTTTAGGAGAATTTTACACAATTTGTTTATCATGTTTTAAAACTTTAAAAAAAACTTCTCCTCTGAAACTACTGAACCAAATTAAACCAAGTTTAAGCTGAATGATTCTAAGGTTATCTAAAATAAAGATTGTGTTTTTTTTTCTGTTTCCTCAGAAAGCATGGCCGCCATGGCTGAAAATAGAACATAGGATAAAATGCAGTTTTTTACTTATATCTCAAAACTAAAGCATTTAGAGCAAATCGGACAGGAAGTTTTAGAATTCATTAGGTCAAAGTCTACCTTCCCTGAAATTATCAGTCAAATCGGGTATCTGATTTTGAGGTTATTGCCCCTGAATTGATGATTTTAAGGAAAGTTTGCAGATTTTGGTTATTATCTTGAATATTATTATAGATAAAGATAAACTGTACAGAGCAAAAATGTTCAGCAAAGTAAGATCTACAAATAAGTTTTATGACCAAAATTGTCAATTGACCCTTTAAGGAATTATTGCCCTTTAGAGACAATTTTCACAATTTGTTCATTTAGTTTGCTTACTTTAAAAAATCTTCTCCTTTGAAACTGCTGAATCAATTTCAGCCAAATTTGGGCTGAATGAGTTTCAGAGTATCTAGTATAAATTTTGTATTTTATTTCCTTGTACGTCAAGAAACATGGCCACTATGGCTAAAATGGAACATAGGAGTAACATGAATGTTTTTGCTTTTGAAGAAAATATGACAGATATAAAGAACATTTAAATGGCATTTTTAAGCCACTCATTGATATATATTGAAAATCAAAAATAATCATTGATGTAAGATTTAAGCAAACAATTACAGGTGAGCGATTCAGGCTCTTGAGAGTCTCTTGCTTTATAATGGAATACTCAATAATCAGACTATCTAAGTTTGTATTAAAGTTATACAAATAAGTGAAAAAAGTATGCAGCATCCATGTTCTTTTTATTTATTATTTGACATTGAGTTAATAGGTCGATGTTATCCTCCTTCTTACGGAACGCATCTTCTTGATTGAGTGCACAAAATATCAAGCGCCCTTTCAAAGCTCCGGACACGAACATATCTCAAAAGATCAACTATGTTGATCATGAGGTAAAAAATCAAGGTCGCATGATGAGACGCGTCAAACTATTTAAATTTATTTGCATGTCAAATAACATACGTTATTGTTAAAAGATCAAACATTTTGACCCGGATAAGGTTGTATGAGAACCAGAAGAAGAACACTTCTAAAACATTAGGTCTTTTATGTTTGAAATGGATTCATAAAGAAAAACAACTAAAAAAAAATACTTCCTTCGTCTCCCGTCGTCAAAAATTGTTTATCAGTTGCCCAGTATTTAGTCTTCTATGTGTGTTTTGTGAACTTGTTTGTATTTTCGTCGTTTTTCGTATTTTTGCCATTTCGTTGTAAGTTTCTCTTAGACATATGCGTAATGAATGTCCCCTTGGTTCATTGGTCTTGTTTAAAATCTTTCTTCAATATATTTCAAATTATTACGCACCGATTAACTTGCAACATTTTTAAGTTATATGTTCTCCTTTGATGAGCCGAAGGAAAATGCTTTTTTATAAATTTTGAATTAAGTCTGTTGTTTAGACCCATTTTTGCACTTTTATTTTGTTACATATTCAGGATTCAGGCGTACACAGGATAAGCCTATAGAACAAAAGTAAACTATCAGTTGCCGAACGACAAAGATGCAAACTATTAAAGATAACCATCCACCCTTTAACAATGAGTTAAATCCATACCGTATAGTATATTGTTTCTTTGATTAATTTGTACCATCAATGAACTTCTAAAGTGAGAATAAGATTTAATTTGGTGATTGAATTTAAGTACATCATTCGATGAGTTGATGTCATAGAATGTTTCTGATCAATGGATCTCGAATCTGTTTTCTGTTTGCGTTGTTCAGTCGTTTCTAAGACTCTTTCATCTTGCAATAGTATAAAAACATTTGACTTTCTACACTTTACACTACTATTCCTCATTCCAAACTAAAAGACAAATATAAAGAGTTGGTCCTTTTTTGTTTCATTAAAAAGAATGGACAACATAGATACAAATATCTTGTCTTAGGGAGGGATTATTCGTACTTTGTAAAATAATCACTCTAATTCAAACAAAAAATTCTCTGAATAGATATAAGAAGATGTGGTATGAGTGCCAATGAGACAACTCTCTATCCAAGTCACAATTTGTAAAAGTAAACCATTATAGGTCAAAGTACGGCCTTCAACACGGAGCCTTGGCTCACACCGAACAGCAAGCTATAAAGGGTTCCAAAAATGACTAGTATAAAACCATTCAAACAGGAAAACCAACGGTCTAATGTATATAAAAACCGAGAAACAGTTATGAACCACACCAACAAACGACAACCACTGAACATCATGTTCCTGACTTAGAACAGGTGCAAACAAATGCAGCGGGTTTTAACGTTTTAATAGGCGCCGACATTCACCCAACCTGAAACAATTGTGTAACATCACAACATAGAAAGACACACTATAAAATATCAATTGAAATGGCTTAACTCAATCAAAAGACATATTAACAAAAACAAGTGAACTTACACTGCACGAATGAATTTGATCTCTGATGCAAATACAAAATTAGTAAAACAAGGGGGTTAGATATAAAACAATATCAGAAAGACAACCATAACCTTGGACAAAATGCCGCCAAATAAAATAATGTGCACAGATAAATAAAAATAGTTTTGTAGTAAGGTATACATGGAGTACGAAAATAAACAATTACCAAATAAATAATTTTGTTGTTCCAAGTACGAGAACAAAAGTGAAAATTTATCGTCATACTAAACACTTATCAAAGGTGGTATATTTTAAAAATAGTGAGAGTAGATATAACACTGAATAAGTAAACATTAGATAACAAAAATACATTACAAATTGTATTAACAGGTCAAATTAATACGAAAGTTAGATTTGAGAGTACTCGCAGTTACTGAAAGCTAGTTAAAAGCCAAAAGCAATTAATAATTAAAAATCATGCACCAGAGACTAAAATCAACTAAAACACATCCCAGGGATTTAGTGGTTTAACGTCATTGACAGTCAAAGAAAACATGACTTGTGCAATGACAAAATAAAAGTATCGACAGGCAGTAGGATAGTTAGGAGTTAACCTGTTAATAAATAATGTATAATGTAATATATAGATAGAGTATTCTCTATATAGAAAATGAACGTGGATGTGTATTTGTACATCCAAAAAAAACGTTTGAAAAGAATACAAATTTAGTTATGTTTTAATTTGCTGATGACAAAATCGATATTTCTGCCATTGTAAACTAAATTCAAAGATCTAATTACAACATTGGTAAGAATAATAATTGTACTTATAAGTTTGTTTAAAGGTTCGATGAGTTTACACGGATTACATAGTGATTTCCCGGTTTTAGTACAATTTTACCGTAAAATTTAGAATGTGAAATACCGTTTTTAATAAGTTTTCTACAGGTACAGCCAAATTTGCTAATCAAATCTTTGTATCTATGAAAGAATTTAGTAAAAGTTTTAAGCAATTTATGGTAGCGAAATCCCTGACTTAATATTTTACCAGTGATGCATTGATTGCGTTCGTTAAAATCTATGACATCGAAATTGACATTATCAAGATGCTTGATTTCTTGATTGACAGCATATTTGTTACTTTTGGAGGACGTGTTATTCAACAAACAATTGTCAGTCCCATGGAAACCAACTGTTCTTCCCTTCTTTCCTACTTGTTCCTTTATTCATATGTTCTTAAGAAGAAAGAAAAGAAGTTAGCAGTATCCTTTAACTTCTCTTTCTGCTATAAAGATGAAGTTATCTCACTAAATAATATAAAATTTTGTGACTTTGTTGAACGCATCTATCCCATCGAACACGAGATAGATACAATTAAGTCTGCCTCATATGTTGACTTACATATAGAAATTGACAATGAGGATCGGTTGAAAACAAAAGTATACGACAAAAGAAATAATTTTAGCTTCTAAATTGTGAACTTTCCTCTTCTATGTAAAAACATTCCAGCAGCACCTGCATACGGAGTATATATCTCCCAGTTGGTACGATATTCCAGGGCTTATATTTCCTATTAAGATTTCCCTGAGAGAGGGTAAATGCTCACAAAGAAGCTAGTAAACCAAGAGTTCCAAGTGGTGAAGTTTTAATCATCCCTTCGTGAATTTTATATACGCCATCATGAGTAGGTTGACCGTTATAGAATATCTGTTTCACAGATGACGACGGATATTTTCTTATTGTGATACCTACAATCCCGTCCCTTTTCCCCGAATGTGACTTAGACTTATCACCGGGTTAGTACCTACATAAACAAGACGACGGGTTCAACATGTGGAGCAGGATCTGCTTACTCTTCCGTGGCGATTTAATTGGCGATTTTCAAATATACTTAATGCAGTTTAATAAGCAAGAATCCAAGTTTGACATATTTATCTTTGCGTTATCTTTCTACTCGCGAAAGTCGCGAAAATTAGTTGGTTTACAGCATCTTCTTTAATGTTCTAGACTGTCCTGTATTTTTTATGATTTTATGATTTTTCAATACTGTATTCATTTTCGTGTCCCAATTTACATTGCAAGGTGTTCAATAGCTTACCCGAAAAAAAAACTGTATTTGAAGGATAATACGTTGAAACATACAGCATCCACATACCAAATGTTCTAGACCATGTTATGTATAGTTGCCGAGGAACAGGTCAAATGCATCATGAATATGTATCATCGACTTATACTCATAGAATACCAGTAGACAGTATGAAAGTGTCTTCGAAAAACAATACTTTGAACTCACTGAGATCATTAATGAATAAGTGGAAACTTTCCACGTGCTCATTCTGAAATTTTATTTGGTATATCATACACTGCAAAACCTTTTATCTATTGCAGAAAGTAACGGACTCCATTAAATATATACCTGGAGACGATGTCTTGCAGGCAAATTTCAGGAATATGTTCACTGTATCTTTAGATTTAATGTCCTCAGGGAAAAATAGATCAACACCAGAAACAATTGTGGCCGAAGGATTTGAAATCAGTCTTTCATATGATGGCACAAATTTTGGAGAATCTGTCAGCATTATCATATATGATGAAAATTGTTATTCATGTAACTCAACATCTATTGCGTGCTTTGAACAGGTATGTTAAATTTGAATTTGTTGCTACTGTGGAAATGAAAATAACATAACCAAATTTTTAATAGCCAATGCTGTATAAGTGCCGAAACACGTGAAGTGCTATATGACCAGAACAGACCTAAAATAACAGTCAAATCTATCTATGGAAAATTTTGTCTAAGGGATTCTGAACCTTAGTTCCTTAATCAATGACTCGAACTAGATATTAACGGCATTCTTGATATCATGCAGGTTATGTTATAAGATGATTTTATTCTATCTTGAATATTTCTGACCAAGGCATTGTATCAATTTTTGTTCTTCTGTCATAATCAAAGTTGATCGAAATAATATATATATATATATTGCAAAAAAAGCTTAGGTCACTCCGCATTAAATACTTGTTCTTCGAATTTTTATGTACAAGATTTGTATTCAATTTTATTTTTTTTTAAATGGATATTTGATCAAGCGATACCTAACATGTGGTAAGAGGAAGTTTTATCTTAAATTGTAATCTATAAACTTCTCTTTTCAGGAGCGAGAACTACCTTTTAAACACCAAAATTATTGTGAATTAAGGGACGAGCGATGACTTTTAAAAAATGAAAATTGTTGATTTCATTTCAATTGATCGATAATGCTGAAAGTCTTCAGGGAATGGCAGTAAAGATTCATTTTAGTTTTCCAAAATTTTTCAGCAAGCGAATATGAAAAACGTTGAATCAATTTGGAGTGGTCTTAAAGAGACATATTATGTACCACATGCCATTATATTCGTCTTGTTGCACATAAATGTATATCAGTTAAAATGATTTATGGTCAAGATTTCATAACACCACTCTTCACATGAATCCTCGGATTGATAACTTCAACAAAATTCAAGAAAATGGTTAAAGTTTTTTTTTTTATCTAACAGAATCTTTGCAATCCAACTGTTATTCCTACGGCTAAGAATGGTAAGACATATGCTTAAAGACAGAACATTTATAAAAACTCATCAGAAACAACAAAAGTTTTATATAGTATGCCAGACAATTGTTTCATCTACATATGACTCATTGATGGCACTCGAATTGAAACAATTGGAGGATTGCCTAATCAATTTCGAACTTGAATAGCATTGTGAACATACAGTGTCAAAACGTTGTGCCAAATCCGGTTAAGCCCAACTATGTATTGGGGGGGGGGGGGGGGGGAACAAATAAGAGGGGGGAAATACCAAAGGAATATTCAATCTCATAAATCGAATAAAAAAAGTCAACGCCATCGCAAACAACGAAAAACGACGCAGAGACAAGCAACAGTACACAACCAACAACATAGAAAACCAACGACAGAGTAGGACGAACCCCACTCAAAACCGGGGTGATCTTTATTTAAAATACGAGATAAAAAATGTTAACAATGTGAGAAGTTAATGACCGTCAAGACATGTGCAATTCATGATTACATCTTTTGTTGCAACAGTTTTTTTTTCTAATTCAAGGATTTTTCGAATTAATATACTTTGTACCGTTGAATTGGAAACATTGCAAATTTAAAGACGAAAATTTCTTATAGTAACAAAAAACCTTTACCAACTGATAAAGTTTAAAAACAGAAAACCGTCAGTTTACATCAAATTTTTAAACAAGCAAATTTTTAAAAAACAACTATCAAAACATGTGTTTCATCACTATTGAAAATAAACATACTGTATGTGTTGAAATAAATAAATAAAAATCATATTCTTACATTCAATTACAGTGCTCAAAAGTTAACTTTCTCCACTTCAGTAGATACAGAAGCTTATTGGCAGGTGTCTTTGAATGAAATGTTACTATTTTCATTGTAACTTACATATTCTAAATTTCAAACTTAAAACCGTTCAAGTGAAGTCCGAAACGGCCAATTATCAATACGGCAGATCTTGAGAGTCCGATGGAAATATCGAATTTGATATTTTCAGCAAAAATTTCCATTAAGGTAAGTTACACGAATTAGGTGGTATTTAAGATTTTTAGTGAAATTTGAATGCATATAGAACTCGTTCAACTGTATATGAATATGTGTTATGTGTTATGTGTGCGGGTGTAACATATGAACTTCTGGAGATACAAAAAGGTCCTTGCTTTTTTACTTAAAATTGTCATTTCTCAAAAGCAAGTTCATTGAACATATTAAAAAAATAGTATGATAAACCTATGAACATTTGCGTTTTAATTATATCAAATTATTGTGATGTCAAATATGAATTGCTATTTATTATCAAGGGTTTTTTCAGACAACAAGACATCATTTGTGGCGATAGCTGCAGCTTTAGGAGGCTTGCTTCTTATCATTATTGTGGTCATTGGATGTATATATTACAAAGTCAAATCGAACAGCACAAGGTTAGTTATCTTAGAATACAATCTACACATATGTTGAATGTGTATAATTGAGTCTGTAAAGTGAACAAATGAAGGACACTTGTCCATTATAAACCTATGTATACTTGTCAGCAAAAGTACCGATACACAAGTTGGGAAACTAATGGCATCAAATGAAAAATATGCATTTGCATAACAAGTGCAATCGACACGGAAAAAAAGTCGGAAAGTGAGAAATATCGTATTGTTGAACAATGGGGTCAAATTTGTTTTGCGGGAATTATTTCAAAATATGACACCCAATTCCAAACATTATACGATGGAGTGTTGTATTCTTACTACTGAGAAATTTGAAGTTGGCAATTGAAAAGTAGAAATCATCACGGATGTCATAGATCAAATGTTTTGATATTACTACAAAATTTAAAGAGTGTGATGAAAATTTTTTGGAGAAGATCTTTAATTTTTTCTACATCTGATTGACCCCAATGGTATAATATATCTCATCACAATATGTCTAAAGTCCACCGTCTACTGTAGACAGATAGGTGGTGCGAACATAACAAATATGTTTAGTTGAACATCTTGACGACCCGGCTAGATATCGTATTTTAGAGGGATTTTTTAAAGTTTATTTATTAAGAATAAAGTCGGGAGATTTTCTTTGTAATTGTAAATGCTTATACCAAAGAATAGAAGGAAGGATTTGTGTTTTTCTAACATTTCCTCTTTCTTGAAATATACAGAATATTCAATTTCATTATAAATATACGTTGCATCGTCTTGTATTATATTGTGTCTTTTGATGACTAGCATATATATAATTTAAAAAAAAACCATATTTTAACATACATAGATATAGTCATCAGCATATTTCAGTATGGTTTTTACTTATAGAACAAAAATTAATGCGACTTCTGATAAACTGGAAAAAAGGCCGAATTTATATCTTGATCAGAGCAACGGAAGCCAGATTTTGATGACAAGAGATAAAACTATCAGTGACCTGCAACTTGAAATCGATGACAGTAGAGGTGAATCACCTTTTGAGATGTTCGAAAATCAGTTACATTTTGTACCTCCACCGAGTCATTACAAACGTATTCTATGAAACCGAACCTGTTTGGATGAAAAGTTAAATTGCAGAGTTTAAGATACAAATTAAAGAAAGCAATTTAAAAGAAAACTGCAGAAGGGAAGTTCATCACCTGTTTTCAGTTTATCAAGGGTTTAGTGTCAAAAGTTGGCAAAATGTTACAATTTATAAAGTATTATTTTCATATAATACATATAATATATAATATGTTTGAATAGTATACTAATACGAATAACGAAATGGATACTCATCAATTGAACCCAAATGAAAATCCGTTTATGATAATAATAATAATAACAATAATAATACAAATCATTCAAAATTGCTGTGAATATATTTTACTTTATGTTCATAGGGAAGGGATGAATCTTAATTTTTTCAAATCTTACTTTTCTGGCAGTTGTTATCAAAAAGCCCGTTTCTATGTATATATGTTTTTGTAGCAGTTCAGTGTTTCTGTTGTTCCGTTGTTTTCCTCTTATAGTTGATGTGTTTCCATCGGTTTGGTTTGTGACCCGGATTTGTTTTCGCTCAATCGATTTATGGCTATTGAACAGCGTTATACTACTGTTGCTTTATTTTTCATTTTGAAGTGCTTTCATTTCGTTATGTCGATTTAGTTTTCTATAGTACAAATAAAAGAAAAGAAAAATCTCATTTTAACAAACATTACCATTTACGATTTGGCAATGTGTTCTACGATATAAGATTTCTAGTATTTTGTTCTTAAAACAATAAACACTCGTGGTTGTACTGAAACCAATCATTTTTATCCAGATCAAAAGAAAAGTCAGTAAGAAAAAAAGGCTCATAATTTTACTAGAATGTTCTATACTTGATTAAGACTGACATGTGTCAAATGTTATATTCGGTATCTGTTATATATTAGAATTGTATTTCAAGATGAAAGATTTAAAAGTGTTTTTTTTATTATTTTTGTATTATTAAGGATTCGCCTAGACTTAAGGTGTCTAATCTTAGTTGACCATGTTGTTTATTTGTATCACTGTTTTGATGTGAATTTTGGAATATACTCAATATTGTTTACTGTTAAACTATATTGGCTTCGTTTTTTTTTTTTGTGTGTATCCGTACATATTTCTTTTTAATCTACCAGTACTTGATTTTTTTCTTATTGATGAAGTATGTTTGAAATTCTATTTTTCGAAAAAGATATAAAAAATCTAAAGAATCACTCTGATTCAAACAAAAAATTCTCTAAAACTGACATTATCAAGATGATTGATTTCTTGATTGACAACATATTTGTAACGTTTGGAGGACGTGTTTTTCAACAGACTGTCGGAATTCCAATGAGAACCAATTGTGCCTCTCTTCTTGCCGACTTGTTTCTTTATTATTACGAGGCTGACTTCATACAGGAACTTCTTATGAAGAAAGATAAGAAGTTAGCAATATCCTTTAACTCTACGTTCCGCTATATAGATGATGTTCTCTCACTAAATAATACAAAATTTGGTGACTATGTTGAACGAATCTATCCCGTCGAACTAGAGATAAAGGATACTACAGATACAGTTAAGTCTGTTTCATATCTTGACCTACATCTAGAAATTGACAATGAGGGTCGGTTGAAAACAAAATTTTACGACAAAAGAGATGATTTCAGCTTCCCAATTGTGAACTTTCCATTTCTATGTAGCAACGTTCCAGCAGCGCCTGCATACGGAGTATATATCTCCCAATTGACACGATATTCCCGGGCTTGTGTTTCCTATCATGATTTCCTTGATAGAGGATTGCTGCTCACAAGGAAGCTATTAAACCAAGAGTTCCAAATGGTGAAGTTGAAATCATCCCTTCGTAAATTTTACGGACGCCATCACGAGTTGGTTGACCGTTATGGAATAAGCGTTTCACAGATGATATCGGATATGTTCCTTATGTCGTAACTACAATACCTTTCCCTTTTCACGAATGTGACTTACCGAATTAGACTATTTACCGGATTTGTAATAACATAAGCAACACGACGGGTGCCACATGTGGAGCATGATCTGCTTACCCTTCCGGAGCACCTGAGATCACCCCAAGTTTTTGGTGGGGTTCGTGTTGCTTAGTCTTTAGTTTTCTATGTTGTGTCATCTGTACTATTATTTGTCTGTTTGTCTTTTTATTTTTGGCCATGGCGTTGTCAGTTTGTTTTCGATCTATGAGTTTGACTGTCCCTCTGGTATCTTTCGTCCCTCTTTTCTTTGTAATGGCTCTATAACACATTTCATATAATAACAATTTTTTAGGCATTTACAAAAGAGTGTTTGTTGTGTATGGCCATGAATTTGAGATATTAGTTGTCTATGAAATATCATTCCTAGAAAAGTTCAAACTAAACATACTTCCTGCTTTGAATTGAAGTGATACTGTGAATCATGTTTTTCAATTTGTTTTTTTTAATTTTCATATAGTTTTAGTATGTGTTTTTTATACTTAATTTATTTTAAAACGGCTGATTAATTTTGATTTCTGTATGTCCGTCCATAATGAAAAAAAATGTGTCATTGATAGATATTTCACTCATTGATATTACATATTTAAGAAGGCCTTATTTGATGCATCTGTTTTATATGTCTCGTGTATTTTAATTACTCACTTACCACATTATATTATTTTGATTTCGAGGTCAGACTTATTTCATGGTAGAATGTTCTTTTTAAAATACAATCTCAGAGAAAAATATGTAGTGATCGAAAAATATGGCTTTCTTCTGGATCATTTATGATCTTCGTAAGGTAACTTTGCTTCAATAATGCAAGTGTAATTTTTGAAATATATTTGATTGCTTGTGTGTTATATCAAACAAAAACACATTTTTTAAAACTCTAGTCTTCAAATCTGATCAGAAGTCTAGCTTATATCTGTTCTTGTGGTATTATTTAATTATTAAATACGCATTAAAGAAATTACAAAAAATTGACAGCATTCTTTTTGTTGCAGACTTTTAAAGAAAAAAAAATGTCCTTGAAAAGGAATTGTCAATAACACTGGAGTATTGAATATACCCTTAAGCAAAGAGGTTTTTAAATCACTTGAGATGATTATTTGTGGTATTCCCATAAACTAATATCGAGTAGTTTTTTTATAAATGATTTATACCGGTTGACCCGGGATCAATCGGCGTAAACAACGTCATTGAACAATCGGTTCTTACTGTGACATAATAACATAAGCATTGTGACATAGGAAATTGACGGGAAAGTGCACGAATTCGAAAGTCGTCTATCAAAGGGGCATGAGATGAGTGTCAAATCCAATTTCACCGATTTGACCCAGATTGTCATGTTTGATTTATGACATACTAAAACGTATATTCAAATTACAAAATGTCCAAATGAAACAATAAACAATGCATTATATGACTCGTTATCATGTATCAGCATTTTGTGCGTATTTAAGACTAGACGTCATCTAATTATCAATCGATATGACCATCCAAAGACTGCCGACGGTCATTCATAAATACGGATTCAAATGAGTGTGAATTATTGACTTGCAAGCCAATTATACACCAACGACATTTTGTTAGCCTATTTTGACGAAATTGAAACAATATGATTTCTTATTACGAAATATTTTATATTTTTAAAAACATTTAACTTACTATTACAAAGAACAAAAAGGCACTGACATAACTTATCACAACTTAGATAGTCCTCTTCTAAATTTAATAAGTTATAATCTTTAAATTTAAAGACATGCAACAATACATTAAATAATTATCAATGTAAACAATAGTTATAATATTATTTGTATATTCCGCGTTTATAAATATTTCAAACAAAAAAATCATATTTTATTTGTTTGTCTAAATCGTCGCTAATGCTCCTTTAAGAAACATTTTCCTATCTTGAAACCTTTGATGTTACCTGAAATACGATTTCACCATCACATGACAGAGGTAGCGAAGGTTTTGTATGTATAGCGCAGTCTGATATGCGCATGAAGACGCTGTGCAGCAGTTAAATGCAATGTGACGATATATAGAATAATGAGTCGTTTAAGACAAGGAGAAATGCCGATATCCGCATACTGGTCTTATATCAGCGGAAAGTACATTCTGCGCGACACTTGACCAAACCAACAACTGCTGTCCAAACCGTTAACGTAAAGTTGGCTTCCAAAGTAGACGTTCTTGCAGCAAGACAACCCTAAGTGCCACATATGCATTGACTTTTTCAATCATCACCTCATTCGTGTTCTACCATGGCCAGCACGTTCACCAGATTTATCAACTGCCGAGTATTTGTGGTAGGTAGACATGAATACGTGACCACAATTGCCGGATAGCACCAGAAAACCAGAAACACTTGAACAGCTGCAAATCAGTGAAGGAGTGTCACAACATACCCCACATAATCAATAGACTAAATAAAGATATGAAACGAAAGATGTGTCAACAGCAGGTCATACCTGATATTAGCTAGGTCCCGCAAAATGACATTGCGCGTATTTGAAATTTCATCCGTTCAGTTGTTGTACATTTTCCGATTTTACACATGTTATTGTGTTTGCCATATTGTTGGAGATCGTGTTTGCTATAGTTTGTGTTCAATGGTGATTTATTAGTAATGTTGAAAATAATATTGACTTCTGAAGTCGTTTATCTTTTCTTGTGTGGACTGGTATATGTTCTAGGTTTTCAAGCTTATAGATTAGTGTGTTCTTTAAAAAAAAGTATTTCCTTAGCGCTTTAGTTTTAAAACAAACAGTTAGTCTGAATTACTTATAAGACTATAAATCTTATCCTTCACATTGAAATACCATTAGCAACTAATCATACGCGTCCCAAAATATCTTACAACATAACCCAGACTGAGTCTATGAAATAACACTATACATTTCATGCGTCCGATGCGCGTTTCCGGATTCGTTCAAGTCTGAACATTTCAAAACCAGGGATGTATAAATATGTACAAATGTTGGAAGCAATATAACCAATAGGGACCTGCATTTCCCAAGTCAGAAGCCTGTAATTCAGAGATTATCATTTGTTACTGTTATCATAATAATATATTGTTTTCGTTTGTTGTTTTGTACAGTTTGTTCTTGTGTTGTACATGCAGTTTCACCACTATCTCAGGTTAGGGGAGTATTTGGCGCCACCAAACATGTTTAACCCCGCCACATTTTGTATGTACTTGTCCAGAGTAAGGAGCTTGTAATTCGGTGGTTGTCGTTTGTACTAAATATCATATTTGTTTTTCGTTTGTTGTTATGAACATAAATCAAGCCGTTGGTTTTTTCGTTTGAATTGTTTAACATTTTGTTATGTCGAGGCTTTTTATAGCTT